TAAGGGTAAACATAAATGATCTAAATATTTCTTTATTAACGTAGATCGGCCATTGAACTCACAGATAGACTAATATCTATTATCAAATAAGTTATTAAGTAAAAAGTATACATATATGTACACAGTAAGTAAAACTTAAATATCAAGAAGCTATTTAAGAGCAAAAAAATACTTTTCCCTACTCAGAGGATATTAGACCAAATAATAAAACTATTGTATTGTTATCGGTTCTTGATTATATGCGAATATGCAAGTTAATTTAACGTTTTGAAGTTAGTGTAAATTACGTTAGAAGATTCCTTTAGATAGATAGATAGAAAAGACATTAAAAACATGTTAGTAAAAATTGGAGGATATCATAGTTACTTCTACAAAACTGATTTAAAATACTGTACAGTACAGTACAGTACTCAGTACAGTAGCCACGTTGCATAGAATATGCTTCAAGCTCATTTAAAATACAGCAAGCGAGTTTCAATGTGCTGCGGTTGGCCTCTAAACATATAGAAAGCATCTATCAAAGCGCATTAACTCCCGACAATGTCTACGTAAATAGTGAAAACATAGCCTTTAGCAATACCTAGTGCTGCGACCCTGACCTGACCTATGTTTTACTGCACTCGAGATTAATATAAACGTTATTTGTCAAATGCCACAGAATGATTTAAATAATACGTGAACGGAATCAGTAATAAAATGCTATATCGTTGCTGAGTTGCCTCAATTTTAATTGAATAAAATAATAGTGAGATTAATATGAAGGCGCCCACTAAATTCACATTTGTTGGCATTTTACAAAGTTCACAAGCTTAAAGTCGCTCAGCAACCAATGGATAGGGCTATGCTTGGGAATCCGGAACGTGGTGATCCGACAGAAAGCCAAAGTTATCGATGTAACACAGTGGAGTAGTAAGCTGAAGTGGCAGTGGGCTTGTCATATTCGGTCGGAGAACCGATAACCGTTGGGGTAAACTTGTTCTTGAGTGGGGGCCGCGAATTGGCAAACGTAATGCAGGATGCCCTTACGCTCGGTGGAGTGATGATCTATGCAAGGTGGCTAGCAAATGCTCCATGAGACAAGCTAAGGATCAGGCTCAGTGGTGTGCATTTGGAGAGACTTACAACAGTGGACATCTACCTAGCTAGCAGCAAAAATCTAGTAACAATGATTACTTTCAAAATGATGTAATATAATATATAAGGTTTCCACCTTTTACAATAAGATACAGATAATTTACCTGATAAAGTATAAATTTAAATAAAACTTTGTTGTCCTTATCCCTTTTTATTGCGTCATTTTATCATTGTCTGATATCAATCATCAATTTCCATTACAAAATAATATTTAGTGGGATGGTGAAGTTACTAAGTAAGGTATACGAATGAGCAGGCTATCATCAAAACTTGTTATGCAGATAAAACAAATATCTCTTTTTTTTTCTCACTGTTATTGCTGACCATTATTAATAATAAGCAAAACAATAATAGACATTAAAGAAATATGAAATACAACTGTCCAATATCGAACGTATAATTTGTAGTATTCATATATTTACGAATATGTTTTTGTTAACAAATTGCATTAAAATTTAATCCCATTTCGTTTTCGGGTTTACAGACCCTATAGCCTAATTTAATCGCTAAGATGAAGTCTGTCGAATCCTTACTTTTTAAATAGGCAACAGAAAAAACAGTAGTTGACTTAGATATTTAAAATCAAGATGGTGAATCTAGCTTTTAATATCCACAATCAAATACGTAATGCTGGTAGATTGTCGAAATTTATTCATTCATCTATGATATTTACTAAAATATTTACCTATCTACTTAAAACTGACCTAAAAAACCTAATTTTTTAATGCATTTTTAATGAGTATATGGGGAATAAATAGGAGATAAGGTTTTACAATTAGAATTCAGGAAAGAATGTATAATTGTCATAGCCCCGTTAGAAAAATAATTATTCATCAATGCATTAAGGTACATATTATATATTATTATTTTTGGAACATTAATAACAAAATTATCTTCGTTTGTTGAAATGTGTTGTAAAAACTTTTGTAGTTTCGAATTATCTCTCTTTGTGTTACCAATGTGAAATACACAATATTTTAATTGTGTTCTCACCCTGACCGTTAGTTAAATAATATTAAATGTATTATTTAATGTTCCGTTTTGTAATATGTATATCGTAACACCTGTCACACTTGTGACCTACTTATAGGTTATTTGTCCTTGCATAAATGGAACAGTCGAATAAATAAGCATGTCAATATTTATTAACTGTCTATGAATTCGTCTTCAAAACTTTAAATACTCATCTATACAGTTTTGTGACTACTGCTGTAAGAACGAGGGCGCCTTTTTTGTTTTCTAGAACTATCGATATTTATTCGTAGAATCGTACTCTACATCTGACTGTGGCCCCGTCAACGACATCGATCACTGTCGTTATTAAAGATTTACCTATGTACATTCAAAGTCATACACCTGCTGAGATATATTTTAAATACAGCACTTTAGTGCCCCTTACATACATTAGAGAAGTTGGATTATAAGAGAAAAAAAATACCGGTCACACATTTTTCAGTAATTTTTTGTTCTAATTGATTTTAATTTAACTACAGTATGAATTTATTTTAAAATATATGAACTATTATTTTAATGGGGCTAATTGGATCAAGCTGCCTCCATTGAATATGAGCATTACTTTCGTTGGATTTTATAATATAACAAACGATAGGATAGATATTTTAAGCCTAAACTAAAATTATTATAACATATTTACTAACCAAATTCCTTTGGCATAATGAATATACACTCATAAATTAGAACAAATGACTTACTCGCAATTTGGTCAGTTAACGTTTTTGACTTAATTATTGTACTTCAATTGGTAAATATTATTCGGTTACAGCAGAACTACTAAGTAAATATTCGGATAACAAACTCAATTATCTTACTAGTTCAATAAGAAGGTATGACCGTTCTCAGTCTCTGAGAATAACGACAAGAAAGTTATATTCTCATATAATATTATAAAGAGGAAAGATTTGTTTGTTTGTTTGTTTCGAATAGGCTCCGAAACTACTGGACCGATTGGAAAAATTCTTTTTCCATTAGAAGCCGACATTGTCCCTGATGAACATAGGCTACTTTTTTTATTTAATTTTTTGTTTCATGTGTGTTTTAATGTTTCCGAAGCGAAGCGAGGGCGGGTCGCTATATTCTCATAAAATGCTCAAAATTTCTACATTCCTCACTTTACGATGATGATGTTTGATGACAAATTTGAGAAATCTTTTATGGGTACCACTTTATTTTTATTGGGAACTTATAATGAAACCAACAATTAACTTCTCTTCGGTATCCAATGTTTACGCAACCTCATTTCGAAGAAGGTATAAAAAGAATTACACAACTGCACTACAGTGATTTAATAATGGATTGAACCGATTTCTGTTTCGGCATTTAAGATTGCGTTTTACACGTATTACTTATTACATGATTAATCATCTTGCTCTCCTGTCTCATTTAACGTACCTTAATACTACAAATCAATAACGTTGTCAAGTATACAACAATGACCAAAACAAATGGCGTTTCAAAATAAATTAGAATGTAGACGTCATGCTAGAAGGCAAGTCAGGTCGTGAACGGTGGTACTCGCTCGTTTAGAACCGACATTCAGCTTGGATAATGTGTCTTCCTTCCCATTGCGTCACGCGGTAAGGACAAACTGCTTAAGTCATGGCGTCACGAACTTTCAGGACTACTGCGTGAACGTCATTGTTTTGTAGCCAAATATTTTTTGTTACGTAAGCAATTCATACGTATGTATAGTTCTGAATGTACGTCACATATGCAAGTAATCGTATCTGATATTTTTTATTGATAAAGTTAGGATGCTTCTAGTGCGAGCATCGAAAATTTGTACATTATTAGTATTAATTATTTAAGGAGGCACCAGTAAATAATCTTGCCGTGAATCGTGTGTGCATATTACTGTTAAGGCTGACAAAATGAGGTAAACTTACCATTTACTGGTTGTTTACTTATTTATTGGCTGATTGCCTAATTTATGTAAACCATTTCGGATATTCTCTCTGTTTTTAGGAAGTATTGTTTGAGTACCCTAGTAAGAAATGTTCAGGGTCAATGAACAAAAAACAAAATTATTACACATTGATGGAAAATAAATTGCAAGTATTTGATGCTTAGCTTAAAAGCGGAGTATTTTCGATCATGTCAGCATATTAGAACAAAAATGTTGTCTTGTATTTGTTACAAAAATAGTCTTTTGTTTTTTAAAAATAATTAAGTATTTTGCCGGTTCTTTACGGTGCATTTTATTGTTTTTCAAATCGATTAAAACAATAGTATTAATTAAAGGGATTTGCGTAAAACATATTTCATTCATATATCCAACAACAACAGATTCAATAACTTCGATTTATCATCAACTATTGATCGAATATATAATATTGAACTTCATTAACTTAACATACACGACTCGTTCTCTAGATTGCTGATCAACTAATGCATTTTATGTAGCGTGGAAAATGTAAGCATTAGGAAAACTGAGAAGCGCGGGTGGGTGCGCGGGTTGCGGTTAAGCCTACGTCACAAGAAAGTCGAGGTCTCTATAAAAGCGGTCGCCGTCCCTCCCATTGATATCACTCGCAAGCCAGCAGTTGTTAACGTTCGCTCGTTTGCTCGTTACTACGCGCTCTACTCGCTCAATTGTTAATATCATTCGTGATCGCACCTTGTTCGCGCGCACTCGTACGATATGACCGTCACTAGCAAGATGAACAGTGTTTCCCGTCAATCAATGCTGAGCCGTCTCGGCCCCGGCGGATTACTCTACGCAGCAAATAAAATTTTAGCGGTACGTCATAGAAACGTGATAGTGTGAAAATATTGTGAAAGTGAAACTCTCTCCCGCAATTTTTGTGTTCGATACAGTGTTTTAATGTGTTACCTTTCATTGTCCTCAGGTTGCTGTGCCTTCTAAAGAGGAAGACCGCTGGCATACCAAAGATGGTACCCTATTCAAGCGTTGGCGTCGCACCACGCCGCCCGTGGAACCCGTTCCCACGCCAACTCCTACGGCACCTCCTGCACAGCCTTCGGAACTGTTGAAGTTCTTAGCTATTGTAAGTTGATATCACATTATCTTACGATAGTTTTTTTATAAAGCCCTTTGTTCTTAAAGTTTTTTGTAGACGTTTTATAAAATTCACATTAAAAACGATTTCATGTCTCAGAGTATCTTTGAGGTCCGGTTACTAAGTAACACTAAGCGCATCGAGAGCTCGTCGAGAGATTCAGTTATTAATACAATAAAAGTATCAAGAAGGGAACAGAATACAAAAATGCATTAATGAGGTGTTTACATTACTTTAATATTATTATTTTTTTGTTACAGAACGCTTTGGAACTATCGGCGCCAGCTTCAGATGCGTTACTGAAATCTCGTTCGTCAGAGTGGTTCCAGCTAGCAGGCCATCCTGGATCATTAGCTCCCGCTGGACCCGGTACAGTGTGGAAACGTCGTGCTGCGGGCGACCACCCCGGCCACAACCCTGAACGAGATGCTTACGAAGCCCTTGCAGCTTGTCCTCATATGCGTGGCGTTATTCCTCGCTACTATCGTGAATTGGAATACGACGGTGAACGTTTCATTGAACTTCAAGATCTTCTTCACGGCTTTCGCAATCCTCATGTCATGGACATTAAAATGGGAACCCGGACATTCCTAGAAGATGAAGTCAGCAATGCCCATGCACGTGCCGATCTTTATGAGAAGATGGTCCGTCTAGACCCTAACGCACCCACGGAGTCTGAACATGCCGCCCGAGCTGTCACTAAGCTCCGCTATATGCAGTTTCGTGAACAACGTTCATCTTCTGCCGAGCAAGGTTTTCGTATTGAAGCAGTCAAGTTACCCGGCGAACCTGCCTTGACCGACCTACAGAAAATTCGCGAACCCCACCAATTGGCCGCTACAGTGGCACGTTTCCTTGGGAATGATGAACGAGCACGAAGGGAGATTGCCTCGCGTCTTAGAGAGATCAGAGATCATTTTGAACGTTCGGATTTCTTTAAAAGCCACGAAATTGTTGGCAGCAGCATCTTCATCATTTACGATGATGAACGAGTTGGAGCTTGGCTCATAGATTTCGCAAAAACAAGGAAAATCCCGACAGGCTCGCAAGTCAATCATCGTGCACCGTGGCAACAAGGCAATCATGAGGAAGGCTTCTTGTTTGGGTTAGATAGATTGATACAAACTATAGAAACGGCAAAACTGTCTCCTCAAGGCGATGAAGTTGTGGAAGAACCAGATGTATCACGTTGAACAATAAAGGCGAGAAGACCCTGGTCTCGCCCCACGGTCGTTGTCACCGTCCACTGGCTGTCACGCCCTGTACCGTTCTTGGTGCGTCCGAGAAAACGCTTGGAGTTGTACTTCTTGTAAATGTGCATAATAAAGAGAAAAGCGATAAAACGCCTAATGTTTGATCTAGTCTTTAATTTTATATTATTTTAGTAAGAGAATAAATTGTATCCTGATTTTTACGTACTTGTTTTATTGTTCGAGTCCAAAAAATGAAATATTTCTAATTAAGTGAAATTAACCGACCCAGTCAGTCAGTACCTATGCTTTAAATATGCTTGTGTATATTTAAAGCATACGTACCTTTTTTTTCACTTGCATTACTTAGGCAGTGGTAGGTCCCTCGATTTTTTTTTTATTTTTTTTTATTGCTTAGATGTGTGGACGAGCTCACAGCCCACCTGGTGTTAAGTGGTTACTGGAGCCCATAGACATCTACGACGTAAATGCGCCACCCACCTTGTGATATGAGTTTTAAGGTCTCAGTATAGTCACAACGGCCGCCCCACCCTTCAAACCGAAACGCATTACTGCTTCACGGCAGAAATAGGCGGGGCGGTGGTACCTACCCGTGCGGACTCACAAGAGGTCCTACCACCAGTAATTACGCAAATTATAATTTTGCGGGTTTGATTTTTATTACACGATGTTATTCCTTCACCGTGGAAGTCAATCGTGAACATTTGTTGAGTACGTATTTCATTAGAAANGTACCTACCCGTGCGGACTCACAAGAGGTCCTACCACCAGTAATTACGCAAATTATAATTTTGCGGGTTTGATTTTTATTACACGATGTTATTCCTTCACCGTGGAAGTCAATCGTGAACATTTGTTGAGTACGTATTTCATTAGAAAAATTGGTACCCGCCAGCGAGATTCGAACACCAGTGCATCGCTCGATACGAATGCACCGGACGTCTAATCCTTTAGGCCACGACGACTTATTAATGCGGTAGGTGTTATACAAAAATTGAAACATGTACATACCTCAATGTCTATTGGCTCTGGCTACGAAAGTACGCAGGCCGTGAGCTGTGAGCTCTCTAGTCACTTCAAGAAAATATATTTATTCGTTTTTTTTTTTTTTTTTCCTACCTAAGCTGATAGCCTTGAGAGGCTATTTCAGCGTAACCGGGGCTAGTAGGTGAGCTCACGGGGCTCAAACCTGACGACGATGCTAACACGAACCCTAGCAAAAGCCGTGCTTCGCAGAATCTACCACCGGATCGGAAACGCGACCCACTGAGAAGATCCGGCGAGAAACTCAGTGGGCTGTGTCTGAGAGTTAATTTACTCGTCGAGCCCTTCGTCGCAAGCGACGGGTTCGACGAGAACGGTGACCGGTTTATTCGTAGTGTTAGGAATATACTTGAGACGATAATCAACAAGCAGTAGAAATAAAAGCAGTTTGCAGATAGATCTTGTGATTTTTTTGAAGCTTGGTCAGTTCAAACTTTTGACCCTATTGTGATTTCATGATTTGAATACAGATCTCGAGTTCCTTCTCACCCCGTGGGAATAGTATATCTAATAGTCAATTCTAACAACTGATAATTAATTTAAATTCATTTAATTACACAAAACCTCCAAGAGTATATCTTTTTTAAGAGTACAAAAATCGTAGGTCCCTAGCAAAGTCTAGATTCAGCGACTATGTTAATGAGAAAACCTTGTCCAGACAGAAACTGTACCGAGCAGGTCTTTTGTCGACGCTTAGTGATTTAGACATGGTTCTTCTAGGTGTTCTAGGTACTTCTAGCCATGGTTATGTTATTTTATATGCTGATTTTAAAATGTAATAAAATGAATTTGCCACTTATTACAAAACGGGCAAACGTAGAGCTTTTTGCAAATTCTTCAGTGGTGAAAATAAAATAAAACTATTTCAATCGAACTAGTAGCGCCATCTATAGATACAAGATGAAAATAATTCACAATTACAGTTTTGTGTTAGTGCAATAAATAAATCCATGTTTTATTAATATTTATTAATATTAAATGTAGTGATAAGATTATATTAATTAAAAGCATAACATTATCTATACATTATTCCAAAACAATAAAATTAGTTTTAATTTTGGATCTTAGACATACAAATGTCGAATTTTTAAGAGTATGGTTTTAAACTATGTATGTATTTGAAATATTCTCTATTTTTGTATACGAGTTAAGATTTACAATTGTATGCGTTTATTTTATGTTAAAGAAAAAGAGATAAACTCAGTAAGATTCAGATTCAACAAAAATATGTTAAGTTTCTGCTATCTGACTGAATTGTACCAATTTTCAATTCACAGAATAAAATAATTATCACATTTCCCAAACCCCTGGGTGTACTTAATCACACGAGAGATGGAACGTTTAGTAATTTAGGTCACTTAATTTATTTTGTGTGGAGGCTCAAAAACAGTTTACAATTTTTTTTAATTAGTTTTAGAGTTTAGTTTTCTGAAAAAGCTTGAGGAATAATAATCTGGTTATGGCAAATAAACAATTTTTTAAGGATTATATACCTTAGTTGTATAAAATAAAAAATAGGAAGAAAATCGTGAAAATTTGACAATTTTAGTCAATTTGCAATATATTATTTTAGTGAAACTTACATTTAAAAAGTCAAAAATTATCTGTTAAGGAAGCATGAATAATCTATTATTAGAATCAAATATAAACTAATGTCAAAGTTAAAATATATAGGTGGTATTTATTACTAGAACTAGTCAAAATACATTTGTTTAAAACGATGAGTGCAACTTGTTTAACTCAGGCGAGTTTCGAAAAAGTCGCAATGAAATTCAAATACACTTCAATAATATTAATAAAATAATAACTAAGTGTCGACCATACATAGGTTCTTCTTGGCCTTAACTACTCTACAGTTATTGACTTTTGTAGCAAACCTCAACGAATTCAAAGTTTCACTAAAGCACTCATCAAATTGATTGATATTGACCAACATAAGTGTCTTAGAGTTGCCACCAAGACTAGGCATTAATAAGTGAGTCAATTTGGAATTTCTGTAAGGAATATGCATCTGATTTGTTTGGAGGGAAAGAATAACTTTAGATAATTCAGACAAAGACCTATTGATATGTTTAGTTTCATCCATTCTTTGTGTTGTCTTTCCACTTTCAGACCCAGCTAAGTCAACTAGATTTAAATTACTAGTGTACTTTTCCTTTCGCTTCTCATTTATAGCAGCTATTTTAATTTGAGCCACAGAATGAGATCTGGAGCTGCGTTCATTGTTCAATGTTGCAGCAGTTTGTCTGTTTCTTTGGGCAAATATCATCAGCCTGATGAATTCGTGTGAACTTTTGACTTCTTCTTCTTTCAAGTTTGACACATATACATCACCACCCTTTGAATTAACCATTTTAATTTCATGATTTTCCTGGTCCTTGCTGGAATTGAGTAAATCATATATGACTTCATTGTAAATCTCTAAAAATGAAGCTTTTATTGTAAGTTCCCAGCCCATTCTTTTCAAATCTTCCATGCATGTAAAAATCATGTTAAAGGCTCGTGGTATAATACCATACTGCTCGGTTCCACAACCTCCTTCCATTGTATATGTCTTGCCTGATCCTGTCTGTCCATAAGCAAATATGCATACATTATACCCATCTAAAGCCGATTGGACCATTGACGAAACTTCTGCAAAAACATCTTCCTGAGATGCATGTGGAGTAAATATGCCATCAAAAGTAAATAATTGTGGTTTTGTTTTCCTGGCTGAATTAAGTAATTCTATTTTTTCAACTTCTATAGAACAAGCATCAACAACATTTAGATTAAACAGTGGCTTTGTTATTTCAATACTTAGAGGTGGTCTAATTCGGCAGTATACACGAATGTTACCCTTTAAATCTTGAATAGCATTCCTAAGGTCTCTCTGCTCTTTATACATTGATGCCAAAATATTTTGGAGAGCTTCAGAATCAGTTTTATATTTGATAATATTTTCCTGAGCTTCAGTAAAATCTAATTTTAGTTTGTCATATTCAATGCATTTTTTTTTTAGTTGGTCAGTGAGTACTCTTAGTGCTTCTGCTTCTTCTTGTAGGCTGCTGTGGCGTCTTCTTAAAGAATTTAAATCTGTCTGAACTTGATCTAGTTCAAAAGATTTCTGTTTAAGACTAAATGTAACTTCCTCTAGAAGCTTTGTCTTACGTTGTAGATCTTCGTTTTCTGTTTTCATTACATCAAAATTAACTTTAATTTCATCATACTCTAAAGTTTTAACACTTAAATTGGCCTTAAGAATATCTCTTTCATTGCTACAGCTTTGGAATGTCTCTTTGATCTTTTCATATTCATCTGAGACTTCTAAATGTTTGTCTTTTAAATCAGTAAACTCACTCTTCATTTTTTTATGTTTTTCTAACAAGTCATTGAATCTTGCTTTGAAGTCATAAGGAGGGATTTTCGGAGCCACAGTTGATCTTTTTTCAACTTTTGTCACATTATTCAGAATTGTTGTTGATGATGGTGCAGTTGCAGATCTCTTAATCCGAGGTGCAGCAGCAGAAACAGGTGGGCCATTTCGTAAAGGTCTAGTATGATTAGTGATTAAATTTTTCTTATCAACATCACTGAGACCATTAGCAATAGTTCTGGATATGGGCCGATTATTAAATTGTCCAAATCTATTTTCTTTTGATATTGTTGGTAGTTTTGGTATCTTGGACATCTGAAATTCGTATTTTAATTTCATGAAACAAGTTTTAAAATTAGGCTAAATTGACTTAAAATAATCTTGAAGTTATCCGTTTAAATTTTATAGTCATGATTTGTATTTTGAAAGATACAATTTTTAATAACAATAATACTACTATATGATTAAGAATGGCTAGAAGAGTTCTTTATAAGTTGATTTTTCCAGTCAATTCCTTCGTTAATTGACCTGCTTATTTGTTAAAATCATTGAGAATACACTATTTTAACTTTATTAGCCTAAATAGGTAAGTAATATTGTACTGAAGTTAAAATAATAATAACATTCATATTGCTATCAATTTCCAAAAAAGATCATTTCATCAATTTATTACTAATGTTTTTATTTTACCTTTACTTTTTTTGGAGATATTTTAGTAGAAAACAGTAAATCAGCCCGTTATCATGAATATCACTCAAATTTTAAACGAATCAAAATTGTACTGTTAGATTATTTCGATATGAAAACTACTTCCCATACCATGTACTATTACAGAAATAACGTTAACCAGTGTGTAAATCGTACAGTTAAACTTAAAGACATTAATTATATGAAGAGTACTTACTTTTCTAATAGTTTCCACTGCGGGACATAAATTCAAACCAATTGTTTGCAACCGATATTAATTGAAATTTGAAACATACAGACAACGGCTGTTTCATTCAAAATTCAAAAATGACGCATCAAATTATTGCTAGTACAAAAATACCACTTGCAAAGAGGCTGGCTGACGGAGATGGGACGACAGAGAGCAGCACTACGTGTTGTGATAGCGACACGCTGCGAAATATATTTTGACCAATCATCTAATATATAAAATTCTCATGTCACAATTTTCGTTCCCATACTCCTCCGAAACCACTTGACCGATTCTCATGAAATTTTTTATGCATATTCAGTAAGCCTGAGAATCGGCTACTATCTATTTTTCATACCCCTAAGTGATTAGAGTTGTCCACCCCTAAAATTTTTTTTTTTATTTGGACTTTTTGTTGTTGTTATAATGAGGTATTATGTGGTTGAATGAGGCTTTGTTATTTTTATTATATATTCCCTCATCGTTCACAGCACTACATACCTCTTTCACTCATTTACCACATCCTTACACACTTACAATAAGTTAGTTTTTTTTCTACACTAGAAATTCCCTAGAAATCTTATGTATGGCAAAACAATGTTTGCCGGGTCAGCTAGTGAATTATAAAAGTCTTGTCTTAGCTAAATATAATCCTGCCTAACTTTTCTGAGTATAGTACTTAAGTTTTTATTCCTGGACTTGCTTTAGTGAATTCACGTAGTTTTAGACAGGTAGAAAATTTGAAATAAATGGCACTTTACGATTCAGTAATTAAACAAATACTAAAATCTAAATAATCTGGATGCAGACACATCAGGATCAGTCGTGATGAAGCTTGTAGGAGATCAATGTCCAGCAGCGGACGTCTGGGGGCTAAAAGCGAAAGAGCGTTAATCTATGGAATCTCGGAATCTCTTTCCATCAGATGAGCACTGGGTTTGTTCATTTTTGCAATAACAAAAGTCAGAGATTTACTATTAAAATAGCACTTGTAAGCTTAAACCTTTATTCAATCTAAATTAAGTTTAAGTCGTCGTAGCCTACAAGATAAGACGTCCGGTGCGTTCGTGTTGAGCGATACACCGATGTTCGAATCCCAGGCGGGTACCAATTTTTCTAATGAAATATACGTACTTATCAAATGTTCACGATTGACTTCCACGGTGAAGGAATAACATCGTGTAATAAAAATCAAGCCCGTAAAATTATTATTTGCGTAATTATTGGTGGTAGGACCTCTTGTGAGTCCGCACGGGTAGGTACCACCACCCTGCCTGTTTCTGCCGTGAAGCAGTAATGCGCTTCGGTTTGAAGGATGGGGCAGCCGTTATAACTATACTGAGACCTTAGAACTCATATCTCAAGGTGGGTGGCGGCATTGACGTTGTAGATGTCTATGGGCTCCAGTAACCATTTAACCTCAAGTGGGCTGTGAGCTCGTCCAGCAATCTATAAAAAAAAAAAAAAAAAACGTATGCGCGTAGTCTCGTTCCACTATCTTTTTGCTGTCTTCTGAGTGGTGGTTGCTGGTGGATGGCGGAATAAGACAGAAAAAATATTTAATAATTTCTCGAGCATTTTGTCACGAAGAAATCATAGATGCGATTTTAAACAATTATAGGCTAAGCCTCTGGCTATTATGCAAGACTTTATCGCCTTGTTTTTGTAAATTTTTCATCATGAAAATTGTTTGCGAGCATTTATTTAGTACGTACGTACCTAATCTGCGTACTTTCTTAAAAAATCTGTGTTATTTTAACATTACTACCATTGAATCGATTCTAGTATCTGCCGTAGTAAAATGCCTATGCCTCGTAATGTTCATAAGCCACAGTGACCTCTTACTTACGGTTGGTCTGCGGCTTATTTCATTTTCAAGGCAAGAAAAATTCAATTACCAGTGATAGATACCGAGAAACTTTATACGAGTGAGATGGAACTTAGTAAAGTTGTTGTTAGTGAGTATCAATTAAAACAAGGTATTGTCACAGCACCATCAACGAATTATATTTTCGCACAATTAGCGATATTGGTTTGAATAATAAAAAAGAAGAAATTTCGTGTTTCAAGTTTTATTGACACGGAACTTATTTCAAAATTATTATTTTTTGTTTCGGGCAATATTTTGATGAACGTTCTATTTGGTGGAAATGAATTAATTTTATTGGATGAACCTGCCATGCGCTTCTATGCAGCGATGGAGTGCGTATTTTTCTGAACCAATGACAGAGCAAAAAGGATTTCCTTAATTGTCACGTATAACCAATAGGCTGAGGCGTCAAGTGATAAATGAAAACAAAGCCAAATCACAATCACACTAAATTAACTTTTCTTGTTTCCTTTACGCGTAAGGTGTATTAAATGGTATTAGTGCGAAAATGTTTACTTAAATGTTTTGTGCACGTGGTCCGGGCAAGAAATATTTTAGACGTTCGAACTAAATTATAGATTCCGGCAAGTGTTTGTTCTTTTGTCAAGATATCATAAAACAGACTGCATTGTTAACCTGTTTATCACTATTGACGGACATACTGCGAGTTTGGAAGTGGCGGTAAATTCAAATTTTCTTCTATTTTAACCATTGGATCATGTAGTTCACCGACTTCCCTTACTTCTGTACATTTGGTATTAAGTGACTTGTGATGGGTAGTCCTGAAGAAAAAATAACTGCCTGTGAGGCTGTAAATGAAAATGAAGCTCGAGATACTATAGATAAATCGGAGCTCAATACTTCTGATATTACGGAATCTACTGCGAATGAATCAAACGAACAAATTTTAAATGACGCCAATGCTTCAAAAGATAGCGACACACCTGGTGCTGGAATTTCAAAGAAAGCAAAGAAGAGATCGCGACATGGCAAAAAAGGTCATACACCCTCAAAAGACAACGTCGATCGAAATGTGGTTCGACGAGTTCATTATACTGGTACGAAATTTAAACAAGGTCGTAAAAGAGCACAGAGCTTTCCATCAATATCAAAATTCTTCCTACCTCATAAGAGGCCACGTAAAGAAACATTCATTCCTCCCACTAAGTTTCTACTTGGGGGGAATATTTCTGATCCTTTGAACCTGAATAGTTTGCAAGATGAAGATGTCAACAGAGCCATGAATGCTGTAACTCCAGAGTCGTCACCACTGCCCACTCCACCTCGACATAAAGCAAAAATTGATGTAATAATTCCTCCGAACATTAGAGATCCACTTAATTTAATGGAGCCCTTAGATAATGAGGAATATGAAAAACGATTGGAGATGCAGCAACGCAAACCAAAGAAGAAAACTAAAGTAAGACGGCGTACAACTGACAACACTTCCCCAATAAAAGAAGTGTCTGAAGAAGAGGTCACTGAAAGCATTAAGGTACCACAAACACCTGAGGCATCAATGTCTGCACAAAACCTTCGCAAGAGGTCTTGTAGTGACAGTGAAAATTCATCTCAAAAAGGAAAAGATAAGAAGTTACGTCGCATGGATTCATTGGATAAGATTGTGAGTCCAGTAGTTCCACAACCAGGGGCTTGGATGCGTGCACGACCACAAGCTCGCCCTGCTCCGCCAGAACGTCCGGTATCACCTCATCGCACAAAACTCAAAAGTAATTCTGAGGGAGAGCCGCAGCTACTAACTTTTCATCCTAAAAATTCAAGATACCAATATGGAAACTATGATAGGTATGTTATCCACATTAAGATGTTTTACTATTATTTTTATTAGTTAAAATGAGTTTAGAGCCAACTTGGACCCCTTATTTTTTACCATTGCTCATAAACTATAATGCTCATAAATATAGTGTATGTTACAGTTGCTTTGAGCCTTAATATTAAAGTTGCCAAAAGATGACATCCAATTGTAGTATTTGAATGTAAAACTAAATCTAAAGCACATATCAAAAAGATAATGATCGAACAAAAATGCAATTCTAATATCAAAATAAATAAAAAACACAATAAAAGCAATTACATGTTTGCACCCATAAAAATGTAAGGATCTAGCACGAAATGTAAAAAAAGTATGCATTCAAATAAAGTGACTTATTAAAGATTACTGTGAATTTAATACTGATATAAAAAAAGACTGAATTTTTTTATTTGATGGGTAGGTTTTTTTGGTAATAAATTCCTTCAGTATATGGACAGTTACAACTTTATATAATTTAATGAAAAATAATAAAGCTCCTACAAAGATAATTAAATGATATGAATACTTTTCTTGCAGGTATTATGGTTACCGTAATCTGAATGCAATGATGGACATTCGTCTCCAAGTCTTTGAGATGCATAGGCACCTATTTCAAAACAAAGATGTTTTAGATATTGGCTGCAATGTTGGTCATATATCTATAGCTGTAGCACGGACATTTGGTGCTCGATCAGTTGTGGGTATAGACATCGATTCTGTTCTCATTGGTGAGTATTAAATGTTGCTAGAAAAAGTAGAATTTCCACAGCATGCAAAAAATAAATTAACCTAAACTCTTACTTCAGATATATCTGGATAGTGTCACATATGCTTATATGTATATTACAAATATTTTGATAGAGCTTTCCGAATGTGTAATACCAGAATTTTCATTACACACTTTGTTTAATGTTTCTTTGTAGTAAGTAGTTCGCAGAAAAGTGTGTTTTATCAAAACCACCTAGAGCTTGTTATTCTCAAATAATGTGTTATCTTCAAGTTGGCCTGACATTAAATATGGAAATGCTATTAATAGCCACACCCATGTAAACAACTGGAATATGGGACATGGTTTTTATTGCTTTACTTTGCAGTGCAGTTTCGGGCTCCTTCGTACGATAGTAAAAATATACGAGCGACTTTCCGGGATTGTCGAATCAGAGGAGAAGTAATGCGCAAAAAAAAAATTAAAAAAAAATACTGGTTCTGGAAAACTTAATCTTAAAAGAAAAGGAAAGCTTAAGCTAATAATGTTCTTAAACAGTTTCTGGATGTCTTGAACATGTACTACATGAATTCTGCAATCCAAATCAAGTTTTTAACTTTCTTGCAATTGCATAGATATCTTACCACTCAAATAACAATCCACTAAGTTTCTTGCCGGATTTTCTCAGTGGTTTGCAATTCTGATCTGCTATCCGATTGCTAGGGCAGATATTAGCAGTCTCCAGTGCTGAGCTCGCCTACAAGTTCAGTGAAGCTAGCATAACCCCTCAAGGTTACTAACAATAGATAGGCAATAAAAAAAAAATGTGTGCGTGTACTAGTGTACACACGTAAGAAGTGAAACTTATTTATGGCCTTATTTTTCGAAAAATGATCTACATGCAACTTTCTAGAAATTGGTTAAATAAAGTTAAATTAGATAAAGTTTAAACAAAAGGATTTTATTATCATAGACATGAATACAAAAAAGTTAAATTAGATAAAGTTTAAACAAAAGGATTTTATTATCATAGACATGAATACAAAACAGATGGCGCGTAACGGAAAAATGTGACGCGTAACCGAAAAATGTGACGGTAAATTTTTTTCCAACGCCGATAAGGAAGTTTCACTTCAAAAACTCAAACAAAACATGATCTCTTTGTGTCAAAAATAGGCAGGACAGCTATACTAATCCGTCCAGGCTCTCTATAACAGCTTTAATGAGTAGATATGAGCTCACACATGTATACCCTGGTAAGGGTACGGTAGTAATTTATAGATATCACAGAGAGACCTTTATTACTACTATACTTAAGTATGCTATATTATATATGCTACTATACTAACTATATTTAAGTATGCTTCTTAAATTGTTTTACAGGTCGAGCCCGGAAAAATCTTCAGTCTTTTGTAGCAGTTCCACCACCAGAACCACCAAAGACAGACAGCGATAAGAAGACTGATGTTGAAGATAAAAAAATCGACTGCAATAAATGTCATCAGGAAAAATGTGATGACTTTTGTGAACAAAAGGAAAAGGCTGATGACCCCAAGAAAACCATACCTGGTAGAAAGTTAAAGAAGCCAAGAAAGAATAGAAAGTCTTTTTATAAGCATGAACAAGGACAGAGTTTCTTCCCAATGTCAATGTCGATGTTGTATGGGCCTATAAGAGATTTATTGCCAGAGCTGTTGACATTCCCACATAATGTAACTTTTAAACATGTAAATACACACTTACTTTATTATTTTTACAATTACCCATTTGATTTCTTTTGTTGTTCATTTCTTATGTTGTAATAGACAGTTCATAGAGAACTATTGAAAGAAATTGCTTAAGAAATTCTTGATGGAATAATCAAACGTATACCATGTAACTGTTAGTTTTTTGTGTTTAAATGACATCTTACATATAACATTTTTAATGTTTTAAATTAATGTTTAATTGATTTAAAATTCTATTATCCTGAAATCTATCTAATATAATTTATCCAAAAGCACTTCCATTTGACTCTTATAATAACTAATTACTGTTTAATTTTTCTAATCAAAGATTGGTGACAATATGCATGGTTTAATAGGACTAATATTTATCAAGCTTAAGTTAATACACAGATTTTTTTTATAGGGAAATTATGTTCCTCGTGAAGACTTAGCTGTAGGTTCTGGCGAAAGTCCTCAGTTCGATTTGATTTTGTGTCTTTCGACTACAAAATGGATGCATCTTAACTGGGGCGATGCCGGCTTGAAACGTGCGTTCCGACGTATGTTCGCTGATCTGCGCCCGGGCGGGAAACTAGTATTGGAAGCCCAAAATTGGGCCAGTTATAAGAAGAAGAAGCGTTTGACGGTAAATATTTTTTACTTTGTGCTGACGCATATGACTATTTTTAGTAATAGTAATAAACTTTACAAACTTACGTCTTGTAATAGATAACATGAGTGTGGCTTTGTGGTGCCAATTTATATCACAATACACTCTACAGTATTACAATCATTACTGAGCCATTGCCAATCGGCATTCTGTGCTTGTATGGTTTCCAGTCTGAAGGGTGGGACAGCTATCATGCCAGACGAAAATAAATGTTTTATGCATTTCTGTTGTGGTGTACCTATGTCCATCGGTAAAGACCGTCCAATCAATCATCCGAGTATTCATGGTTTGATTCTAGAGTGTAGGCAGGCAGTTGTAGATCTAGAGTGCTTACTGGTGATAGGTCGTCTTGTGAGTCCGCACGGGTTGGTACCACCACCCCGCCTATTTCTGCCGTGAAGCAGTGATGCGTTTCGGTTTGAAGGGCGGGGCAGTCGTAACTATACTTGAGACCTTACAACTTATATCTCAAGGTGGGTGGCGTATTTACGTTGTAGATGTCTATGGGCTCCAGTAACCACTTAACACCAGGTGGGCTGTCCTAGTCCAGCCATATAAGCAATAAAAAAGAAATTAAAAAGGGCACCATATTTCCTAAGTACCTAACATGTCTTTGTAAATTAATCTATCAAACAAGGTGTGAAATTGTGTGCAAAAAAATTATATCTGTATCAATATTGGAATTAATTGGAATTGGAGTAACTTGGAATTAATATGACGAATGATTTAGATAAATGGGTAGGGTAATGATTATGCGAATGTTACCTCATGGTGAGTGGTCGCATTTGTGAGATTCGTAACTCTTTGGTTATTTATTAGACGGGTGGCTTGATATTAGTGCGTAATGAAAAGAAATTGAAAAAACATTGTTTTGTTTACAGCCTACTATATATGAAAATTTCAATTCCATCGAGCTGTTTCCGATCAAGTTTCGAGATTACTTGCTGTCGCCGGAGGTGGGGTTCAGCAAGTGCTGCATATTAGGTGTCCCGCAACACGCAAGCAAGGGTTTCCGGCGTCCGATCCAACTGTACATAAAGGGAGATTTCACTCCGAGCAAGGCCCGATGGTCGGACGCCTATGTGCCCTCGTCGCACCACCGGCCCGAGGCCGAGCAGCCGCGTCGCACTGTGTACGCGCCCGTCGAGCCCGCCTACCGGCCCAGCGACGACGCGCCCTCGTGCGGCGCCGCCACGCCCTACTCGCCCAACCTCGACTGCTGCGCGGACGATTCGCCCTTCTACAACCCTCGCAGCGACTCGTACGCGCCGTCGTACCAACCGCCGCGGCCCACGGTGTACGCGACGCTGCCGTCCCCGCTGGGCAGCGCGTCCCCGGCGCAGTCCCCGGCCGCGTCCCCGGCACCGCACGCGTCCCCCGCGCCGGACCCGCTGACGGCACGCGGCTTCCCGGAGCCTCGCCCTCACGACGACTGAGTGCCGTAGATCGGTTCTCGTCTTCCGGACCCAGGAATGAGATAGTGCTCAAAAATTTGTTAAAGGTTGTTGATTTAGTTTTATTGTTATAGTCGCCAACTTGTGAGCGAATTTCGGTCGGATGTGACTCGGGGGCCCTCTCCAGTATTGTCGGCGCGCCAGCTAGGGACCTGGTCCGCGCTCTCTCGTCTTGTAGTTTCATTGTATCGTTCACATCGTATTGTACCGTGAAGCGATCTGTATTTGCTCGTATGGATCATAATGTAGTGTTGTTGTAGTACCGGTGAGAGTTCAGGGCGCCCGAGTGCAGCACGCCTCATTGCTGGGTTCTGTATTGTGCCCTACCGCCTTTGAAGATTTTGTGTAAATATCGATTTAGAGACTAAGATTATGTTTCTATAGGCTGAATGTATTTTATAATATTATACTCGCGCGATACTGTCATACAGAGTTTTATTTCATCTTGAACCTAAAATGTGGATTTAGGGATGATTTGTTCCTATTTACAGCGATACCGTTGATATTTCGACTAAATGGGGAGAAGATAAGTAAGCAACGTTTAAAAACTACGATGTACTCTTTGAAGATAGTGATTTTTCCATAAATGAAAATTATTATTCAAATGTGTTAAACTATTGCTGTCGACCTCATAGTCTTTCGGAACAAGCGACTACGCGAATTCTGCCATTGTCCATATTGAAACGTGAGATTGCATTTTTCAATTATGTTGTATAACGATTGTCTCACATTTTAATTAGAACACATGACTGCTTCGTGTATGAAGTTGCCAGGATGACGCCGATCTTCCGTACGGGTTCACCGTACTATACACAAAAGTGCATGGACAATTTCAGAGTAAATCGAATAACAAGAGAAATGGCGCCATCTGTGTGTTCGAAGTGTATTAACTTTTTTTTTTCAAACCTGATGACCTTGCTAACACGAACCCTAGCAAGAGCCGTGCTTCGCAGAATCTGAATCGGAAACGCAACCCACTGAGAAGATCCGGCGAGAAATTCAGTAGGCTGTGTCTGAGGGTTAATTTACTCGTCGAGCCCTTCGTCGCAAGCGACGGGTTCGACGAGAACGATGACTGGTGCTTGAGGTACCTAAAAGCACTGTTAGTGAATCGGGAGGATTCGAAATGACGTGTTATGGGGCGACGTCGACTGCTTTTCATTCTGTCCGCAGGATCGGGAATGTAGTTACCGGCGGCCACGATGAGAGGGTTCTCATGTCGTGCCGCTTTATCCAAGTGGATGTATTAGCGGTATTTACTTATTACATGGCACTGGTAATCCTAAAAAAATAATGAATATTCTATCTTTTTCTTTTTTTTTTGGTCATGAAGAAATCGCCGGACTTCCGCCCTTCACTGGGAATGGCGGGTGGGGCATGTCGGAGTTGATCCGACTAAAAACCTGTCGCTCAATAACCCACGACCGAACCTTGCCTGAGACAGAACTCATGAAAAGACATAGGGGGGAAATTGAAGCGCTTAGTGCGGAGCACATCTCTCCCATCACCCTCCCCTTCGGGACGCCGGACCAGCGGTCGTCTACGCCACGACCACCAGCCCTTTCGATCGGCAGGCTATCCAAAGGCCGTCTAAATGGGTTTTACCTTTATGTTATCAATTTCATGATTATTTGTACGTGGTGCGTGCTGTTACCCTCCTATATGGCCTAAGGGACTATCCGTGCTGCGAAATATCTATAGCAAATAACTCAAACAAGATTTATTTTCTAAGCAAAGCACATTATGGACTTACACAACTGATTTAATAAGTTCGTCTGCGGTCAAATCGTAATACAGCTGTTATTAGCTTGTAAACGTCTTTCCGTTCTTAAGACCAACTATTCCGACCGCAAAGTACGTAGCTGTGTGTGCGATATTGCGTGAAATAAAAAAAAACCATTAATAAATATAAATTTTGATTTTTAGTCTGCCGTCCGTCTTGAATTTGAGATGATATAGGTAGGTATTTTTACTTGCTATGGGGACTAAGCCGATTAAATTTAGTGTTTGAGACGAGAGTTTTGTCTTTGTTTTATAGTACAACGGCTGCCTCAACCTTCAAGTCGAATGACACAAAATAGGCCGTACCACCAGCAAATATTCAAATAATATTTTCTCCAGGTCTCGGTTTTTGTCAGACGATATAATTCCTTAATTGTTGAAGTCATTCGTGAGCATGCGTGGAGTACTTTTTTGTTTAGAAAAATTTGGTACCCGCCAGCAGGATTCTAACATTGGTACAGTCACAATGCACGCACCGCGCGACTTGTTATTTTAGGCCATGACGACTTCGGAATTTAGCCGTAGCATTTTAATAATAGATTTTCTAAAGTGAAATAGTTTGTTTTTGTCAAACCTCAATGTAAGATTTATATTTGTCCAACAAATTTTCAAGCAAGGATGTTTGAACTGGTTGTAATTGGATAATTGTGTAAACAAAACTAAGAACCTCTTCTGATAACGAACATAAACCTTGCTTGTGTTTAGCTGTAGTGATAAGTGCGGTTCGGCCATGTAAATGTCAGAAGTCACGAGTAACGAAAGTTTTCTGATTAGAAGTCTTATAATAATTGGAGTTGTTTAATTTTGCTCTGCAGAAATAACTGTTTTCGTAGTAGAGACTAATATTGTACGCGCTTACAACTAAAACTAGGTCGAAGTTCGGGACCCTCACAATGAAACTTGACTTAAATCACGTGTTGAATGGCTCTCGAATATCTTGGAATTATACAAATAGTGGAATGTTTTATATCCCTGTTTCGGAGACAGTTTTAGCATGCTGTGCGCTTTAGTACTTATTTATTGCGGTTTATATAAAACTCTAAGGCTTCTCAGATTTACTTATTAACCTGTAATATATTCTAGTGGAGAGAACTTCTCCTGAACAAATTGTGTTTAGGCTCGCAACACGTTTGACTCGGTTCCGTAAATATTTACTTAGTAAGCTCCCCCATACGTGTGTAAGCAATTACGCGCCTCGACAAACGTATTTAACGATGTAATAAATCAAATTATTGATGTCTCTAATTTCCAAATCATCTTTACGTGGCGTTTCCAATGTTTTGCGATGTTAATTATCACATTGTTATTTTGAAATAACTATTTGCGACTTTACGATTTTATATACAAGATTTCAAAGAACGAGAAGACGCGAGATACAGTCTGATAGCAAAAACGTCGATTGTTAGACGCGTATTTCCAAATAAAACGAGTTCGACCTTCAGATGGAGTTTCGATATTGTTCTCTAAAGGGTTGCCCTGAAGCATTCCTAAAAGATTCTTTCTTTACTTTCATTATGAAATGTAACGAGTTCGAGCTTGTTCAAAAGTACGTTCCTAATGATTTAATAAAAAAAGAAGACTTTTTGCTTTTGTTGGGTGCCAAGATCTAGCATGTTAAACTGCCGCTCGATAATTGGATTTCTATTATAAAAGAAAGAATTTCTATCTCTATTATAAAAGAATAAGGAGAAGGTACATCGTTACTGCACGAATTTAAAGGCTAAAGAACCCACATGAGCGGTTTTTATATTATTATTAAATAGGATAAACAATTAGCAATCATATTACAAATAAAATATTACAACAGAATATGCCTAAAATATAATACGTAATGGTATCGTTAATTCTACATGCACTAATGAGTTATACATAGGCGGCACTGAAAATTTCGGGAATTAACGAAGTGACACAACATTATTATTTAAAAATGTATTTATTGCTTTTCGAAGTATTCTCCGCGAAATTTGACAATATATTTTTTACATTTGTCCTAGCAAGAGCAGTGCATTGCTGAATCTACCGCCGGAACCAAATCGGGACCCACTGAGAAGATCTGGCGATAAATTAAATCGGGAACACATCAGCCTATTAACAATAATACTTAGGAGGGACGATTAATAAAGAAGTGGAGATGTAAAAAAAAGTATTACTTTATGTCCAATAATTTCGTTACTTTATAATTAAGAAATTCGATTCTTAAATTACAAGTAAATTATTGTTATTTAATTCAAAACGCCGACACACATGTATTTAAATTGTTTAGTTAATTCAAGAATACTGTGCTGGGAGGAAAATACATTAATATCCAATTAACAAAACTACAGCATACTTAAAAACTCCATATTTTAATGAAACCACCTACATATATGCAAAATCAATCAAAAAGCTGTGCAAAAAGTAAAACTTTAGTTTCCAAAGCCCGAACAATTGAAAAATTGTGAATAGTTTCGATCGCCCTAGATATTGTACTGACAGTGAAAAAAATTATTATCTCATTTATTTAGTTAATTACATAATAATGTATGTGAACTTAAATTGACTTAAAACTTGATATTTACAGTTATTGTTGGCACTTGGAGCTTTTTGCTACGGCAACATTAAAGTTAGATGCGTATTTGGGAGTACAACACATATTTCGAACTATATGTACCTAGGCGGCACTGAAAATTTCGGGAATTAACGAAGTGACACAACATTACTATTTAAAAATGTATTTATTGCTTTTCGAAGTATTCTCCGCGAAATTTGACACATTTTTCCAATGGATGGAACCAATCATTGAAGCAACCATTCCATTCGGAAGTTGGGGTCTCCAAAACGGCCGTTTTGTAGGCGTCCACAGCTTCAGGTGATGAAAATCTCTGTCCACACAATTTATTCTTTATTTTAGGGAAAGTATAGAAATCATTAGGGCTTAGGTCGGGGCGGTACGGCGGATGGTCTAATAATTCTATGTTTTCTTGCTCTAAAAACTGTTTTGTTCTGTGCGCGGTGTGAGAACTCGCATTGTCGTGATGGAGGATGATGCGCCGGTTGCAGTTCTCTTTACGGAGTTCAGAAACGACCTGTGGCAAACAAATGCTAGCATACCATTCTGCATTAACCGTTCTTTGTCCCTCAAGAGGAATAGTCGTAACATGGCCGGTTTTGGAGACAAACGTGGCCACCATTTTTTTTGCAACACTCCNCGTCCACGGTCGACCGACCTCTCCGGAAGCCATATTGGTTGGACGCGAGATCCGGCCCAATGTTCTCGAGGTGCTGAACAAGACGCCCGGCAACCACACGCTCAAGGAGCTTACCGGCCTCGTCCAACACTACTATCGGGCGATATCCGGAGGGCTCGTCTCTAGGGCGACCGTCCTTCGGGATAAGCACCAGCCGGCCCGTGCGCCCGCGCGGACTCACAAGAGGTCCTACCACCAGTAATATAAGAATTCTGTTTACCTTAATTCTGTTCATTTCTGTTAAGTTTCATTAAAACTTAAAATCCGAACTATGCGCGTAGATGTTTTTTGACAGCTCGGCTAACTACTTTTTTCTTTACCTATTCGGTGGTAGCCTAAAGGGGTATTCCAGCTTCGCGCGGATGGGTAGGAAATTTTTAATGAAACAACATAAAACTGTTTCAATAACATACATTT